TTTAGCCCTTAATGCAATCAATTGCATTGCACCCAACCCCCATCCACTCTACTATTCATATTTTCATTTGCATTATTACTGTTATTATTCCTCTCCACCGCAAAACGCTGTGAACATAATCTTTAGTGTTTTTGCTGTGAAAATTTGGTATTTTTTTACCTTCAAAACATTTTGCTATGAAGTTTCAGGTGTAAAAAAGTGGTCTCATGTGAACCCAACCCACGTGTGTGTGTATATATATATATACACACACACATTAATACATTATCCATCTCAATTCAACATTAATATTACGATATACATGATATGGTTGCCATTAATATTAACATTACCAAAGTTACCATTTTGCCCTTTTTGAGATTATAAAATAATTTTTTACTTTTTTTTAATTTCATAATATAACCTAAACTAATCTTGACCATTGATCAAGAAAATGGATGAATGAGATTGGTTTACATGGTTTACACAAATGAAGGCGGTTTTCATTTGATCGCTCATATATATATATATATATATATATTATATGTGTGGGGGGTGAGATTCAAACAAGAATACCTCCATTTTACGAGAACGCAAGAACATTCTTATCACATAATACACTTGAGGGGACTTGGTGGTACTTGGATGTCGTGCCTTGTGGCTTAGGTCGCACAAAAGGTCGTCTGTGTCTATGATTTAGTATTAATGTGATGGTTTTGATGGATTATAGTATCACATTAATAACACATTTATCACATGTGAGTGGGCCTAGTGGTGTAAGGCAAACCTACAACCTAGATCGCGTTAAAAGTTGTCCACGTCTCTGATTTAGTATCACATGTGTATCGTATGTATTGGAATAATAATATCACATGTGATTGTTTATGGTAAAAGGGTGTTTTTACGTTCTCGTAAAATGAAGGTGTTCTCGTTTGAACTCTTCAATATATATATATATATATATATAGAGAGAGAGAGAGAGAGAGAGAGAAAGAGAGAGAGAGAGAGATTGCAAATCCTCTAATTGTTATAGATCATATAAACTAATATCAACCATCCATCTAGATTCTAAGTAAGAGCATCCACAACAAATGTTCTTATTGAGGTTCCTTTTGGAGTTTTCACAAAACATTCACCGTGAGACAAAGATTTTGTTGTGTTTGAACAAGAACCTAGGTTCTTGTATACATTTTTTTTTGTTATTTTGTTATTTATCAATTTTATTGTTTCTTAACCATTTTATTTTAGTTTTAACTAATATATAAAATATATTAACTAAAATTGATACAAAAAAATATAAAGTAATTATTATAAAATATTTTTTTAATTTTCTTTTCCTGTTAATTTTTTGTTATATTATTATAAACAATATAAATTAATTTTTTACTTTGTGAAGATGTTAATGATATGAGAAAAAAAATGGTAAATAAGGTTCTTAGAGGTTTCATCGCTATGGATACTTTAAATATATGGTTTTATGAATATCTTGATTATTTTTTAATATAAAGTTTTGATCATAATAAATGAACACTTATCATTTATATAAATATTTTAATTATTAGGTTTGTAACCATTAAAAAATTTGCAAATGATTTGAAATATATATAATAGTGGTGAGTCTTTTTAATACGAATTTGTAGTCCTTTCTATAATATATATATATATATATATATATATATATATATATATATATATATATATATATATATATATATATATAAAGACGACTTTATGCATTGAAATTGGCACTCATTTAAAGTTGGGGTGTTATGAAATATAGTTGCAATTCAGCCTTCTTTTAGAAATTTCCACGACCCTTTATCTTGACTTTCTTTATCATTTTGCAACACTCTCATGGAATGTCATCAAAGATGGACTATGAAAACCAACCTTCTCCAAACAAGACTTCTTTTGGTCTTATTTTATGGTTTCAAAAAGTATACCCAAATTTCAAGTTTTAAAATTAAAATATAACATACTTTAGAGTCGTATTTAACCATTATATACTAAAAATATTAAAATATAATTGTTTTTTACTTCAAACTATATATCGCTATAACATTAAAAAGATGGAGGTCACAAAACTTGGTTTTTATATATCAAATATTAATATTATATTCAAATTTGATAATATATAATATAAATGTGAGTTATTATGCAACTCTTTACATTTGTACAACCAATACAATTCAATCTCAACAGTTCATTTAATTTGATGAGTATGTGATTTCATAAAAGTTTTGATTATTTTTTAATATAAAATATTAATCACAATTAATGAACTCTAATCACCTTCCATAAATATTCAAATCATAATAAATAAACTCTCATCATTTTCATAATATTTCAATTGTTTGGGTTGCATTGTACAAATAAACATGGTTGCATTTGAAATATACCACATATATATATATATATATATATATTTATATCTATATTGGTTAATAGTTTAATATATAAAGTAATGTTTTGTATTAAGTTTATAATTTAATTATTTTGTGTTATCAAAATTATAAATCACATTTAAAATATTTTTATTTATTAAGGATGAAAGATAGTTAAAACGAAAATGTGGATTATTTTGTTATAATTTCGTCACGTACACAAATAAAAACATTTATATAATTATAAAACGTTTAACGAAATAAAGTTTAATTAGCAAAATTTTAATAAAACATGTTATTTTCTAGAATTACTGATGTAATCCAATTTTCTTTTCAATGCAATATTTATTAATTAAAAAATCATCATTTTAATTTTAACGATATTTTGTAATTCAAGTGATAATTATTTATTGATTATAAAAATTAGTTATATATTATAAATTATTTATTTTTTTAAAAAAATATAATAATAATAAATAAATATATTATGTTATTATTATTGTTATTTTAAATGTTTTGAGTGTGTGATAGGAGTTGATATTTTTAGTATCCAACATGTCTACTTTTTTAGCGTTTTTAACTTTTTTAATGGTTGAGCTGAAGATGATTTAATTAACGATTTTTTAACATTAGTGATTCATGGCTTCATCAAAGCAAAGGCAAAATGAATGGTATGATTGACTTCATACACACGTAGTACTTGACGTTGAGATCTCATGATGAATGGTATGAGTTATTGCCTTTAAATCTAATACAGTTCAGTATTACATGATGGTCATATACAGTAGACCTCAAAAACTAAAAGCTTTGTCTAACAGTAAAATATAACCAACATTTGATTAATTCAAAGGTAGATTCATCACACAACAATCAAAAAGAATTCAAATACATATCTTAACACATAACTTAATTACCATTTATTTAAACTCTACTCAACATATGTTTAAATCATTAAAACTTTAAAAAATAAAGCAGTAGATTCAACAATGCATAAAGAGTGTAGGTCTGTTCATGTTTATGCGCTTATTTGACGAGTGTAGGGGTAGCAACGAGAGGTGTTGCCCTAAGCAATGCAAGGCCAAATATGACATTCATGTCCATGTCTTCTTTAGCATGAGGAAGCTTCCAATCAAAATGATATACAAACGATGCTACCATCAGGCTCACCACCCTAACAGCCAAGGGTATTCCAGGACACATCCTCCGACCTGATCCAAATGGTATGAACTCGAAATGTTGACCTTTGAAGTCAAGCCCGTTTCCCAAAAACCTCTCAGGCTTGAACATCAACGGGTTTTCCCAATACCTTGGATCCCGTGCCATACCCCATGCATTCACTATAATCGATGTGTTTTTTGGTAAAGTATATTCACCAAGTTTAACTTCAGTTTCAGTTTTATGAGGCACTAATAACGGCACAGACAAATGAAGTCGCATTGTTTCTTTAATACAAGCTTGCAAATAAGGCAAGTCGAGAAGTTTGGCTTCTTGGATTTCTCCGTTATCTCCCACTATCGCATACACTTCTTCACGCACTCTTGAAAACATATCAGGATTAAGCAATAATTCCGTCATTGTCCATTCAGTTGAGTTTGAGCTCGTTTCAGTTCCCGCTATAAATAAATCCTATATTTAAACAAAATACTGTTATTATTGAAATGACAAAATCAACATCAGTATTGCTAACAAACGAAATAGTTGTTGAAACGTTTATTTAAAAAATTGTTTTCCTATTAATTAATTGTACAATTGTTATTCCAAAATGTAGCAATCATCGATCTATGTCGCTTTCAGCAAATCTACCTGAATCTAATAAACCTTCTTTTTTAGAATTTTTTATTCATGCTCATGTTTTTAATTAATTAATATTTTTAGTATTAAAACCTAGGATGTTATTTTTATTTTTATTAAATTACTAAAAAATATCAACCATGAAATGAAACGACTTCGTTTTTGAAGTCAAGTGTTTATGGGTGGTGAGTGTCGTATCGCGTCACCATTATGGAGACCGCTTACGTGGAATCTCATCATCCATACATCGGTTTCGATAGATAAAGAACTGATAACCGTTAAAGTTAATTGACAATCACCGAATCATGTATTAAAAATATAAAAATTTTGATGTTAACTTAATAGATTTAATTTACACGACCATAAAATAATATGTTAAATTTAAATGTGTTGTAATAAATTTATAAGACATTTTTAGATGTTTGACAACATTTTAAGACACTTTTAATAATAATAATAAAAAGTGTCGCCTTAACAATCTTTATAGAACCCCATTTGTAAAAGTGTTATATAGAAACAAGCGTACTATAGAAATTGGGTTTATAAAAGTGTCGTCTTAACAATCTTTATTGTCCTATAATTTCATTAATGCAATGTTTTGTATTAAAAATGTCTTAAAATACTTGGTAAGACGTTAAAAACGTCATATAAAACTATTACAACATCTTTAAATAAGACATTATTTTTTTCTTATAAATTAAATCTTATTAGAAGGCTTAAAATTGGGGACGTAGTGTAAGCTTAATATTGTTACAGTGTGTTATTTCTTTATCATTAATTGTAATTTATGGGTTATAAAAATGGGTTCATTGTTTTTACATTAGCAATTTTTATAAAAATGGATGAATAATACTGAGGTCATAGGTTTAAATTTAAGGAGGAATAAAAATCCTCTTGTGGTTATATATAGAGATTCAAATATGATGAATCCGGATTATCTGCAAAACAAGTGGCCGTCTTAAGATTAATCGTATCGCATAACGGATCGGAGATAAAGGTTAATTAAAAAAAATGGAGGAATATTTACCACAAGTAAAGTCTTGATATGTACGAGATTGAAGTCAACTTCATCATCTTCACTGTAATCCAACAGAGAATCCAACATATCACCAAACCTGGGAACCTGCGATTCTCGATCCCTTATCCTCTCGCTTATAAACCCATCTGTCACTTCATCCAACCATGCATACGCCGCCTTCGCCTGCCGTCGTATGTTCTGTGGATCCAACGGCTTCAACACCGGAAAAATGTCTGCAACATTAAACTTTCCGTCCACCTCCATTAACGTCTTTACGGCATTCTTAAACCCTCCGATATCATCGGAATCATAGCTAGCCAGATCCTTCGAAAGACATGTGTTCGAGATCTGGTTGAGCGCCACAGCGAACGCCAGCTTTCCGATGTCCACCGCCATCTTTTTCTTCTCCGACTCCCGGAGGAACTCCAACATTCCGTCCACCACGTTCTGTCGAAGGTCACGGAGGGTGTCGAGTTTGTGTTGGTGGGTGAGGTATGTGTTGAGAGCTCTTCTAATGGTCCGCCATTCTTCGTTTGTCGAAATCCATAGGACGGCGGCGTCGTGGTTTTCCAAGGCGGTGACGGCATCTGGGATATTCCGGCCGGAGCAGGCCTCGTCGTTGAGTTGGAGGACTTCTCTAGCAACGTCAGGTGTGGACGCCACCACGGTGGTGATGCTGCCCAATCGGATGGTCATAAGTGGACCGTATTTCTGGGAGAGCTTGGCAAGGGACTCATGGGGTTTTGAGCCAATGTGGAGGAGATTTCCGATGATCGGAAGGCCGGCAGGGCCGGGCGGCATTCCCCTTTTCCGGTAGAGACCGAGGGCATGGAGGAAGAAGAAGAAAGCAAGGGAAGCAAGAAGCAAAACAAGAAGCTCCATTGTTTCCTAGCTTTCTTTGTAATGTGAGTAATCCATAGGTGTGAGTGTGTATTTATAAGGGAAATTGTACGAATTAAGCATTGATACTTTTTAGTATTTTTTGAAACAATTCTATTTTTAACCAATAATCATATGCATAATTATTGGTTTTCTGACAAAGAAAAAAAATATCTTTACTCATATACGTAAGGTTTTTGTATAAGAAATTCCACTGTAATGGTATATCGTTGAATCTTTACACAAAAACCTAACACATATGTATAAGGATTTAGAAACCTTATACATTAAGTTCATGTGTAAAGATTTTTTTTTTTTTTTTTTTTTTTTGCCAAAAACAAATCCTTACGCATATGTAAGCCTTTTGCTGAAGGATCTATTAAAAAGTGAAATTAGGTAAAAAAAAATGACTAAAAAGTGAAACCACTTATCAACTCTGTATGTTTATGTAAATTTCCCTATTTATAAAGAGATGCTACGAATAGTGATCATGGATCCATATTAATAGCTTCTTTAGAATACTGATTAACATATAAATTGTGATAACCTCGAATATTAGTCAATTATGTGTTGTTTCATATTATTTAAAATCTATACTATATTATAAAACATTTGACAAAAACTCTTTAAAACCATTTTTTATGCATGAAGTACTGTTGTTGATGCATATTATTTAAAATTCAAGATTACAAGTAAAATATGCATAAATAAAATCTATTAAAGCTTCATGTTTGAATTCATGTAACTAACTGTAAATAAACATAATAAAATAGAGGATAAATATCTCATTTTAAATATAAAAAATTTAAAATATAATTAGGATAATCATTAACTTCTAATAAAATACTTAATTATTATCAATACAAAAATTATATTATTAAACAAAATAAAAAAAAAAGAATTAAAGAAATACACACAAAAAAAAAACTTAATAGTTAGTTTGGTACTAATATCAATATTTTTTTCATTTTTTATGATATCTTCATATTTATATTTTATCAAAAAATAAAAACATTATCGTTTTTTCAAAACCACATAAAACCGTATTATAACATCGACTGAGACAAAACAATAAATAAAACAAAACATGAAGTCGAGATGTATTTCGTTGCATTATGCGAGTATCCTTCTTGTATTAAATAACATATATTTGTTTCACAATGTAAACATTTTTAGCATGTAAATGAAACAAAATTAAACGTAAAAAAATATTACATTGTGAATCGAATATGTATGAAACAAATATATATTCATTAATACATTAAATATGAGTCTTAGATGAAAAAAAATCATATAAACCAATAATTGAAGAAAACGATTGTTTTAATTATCACAATATATAAAATTCTTCTTTAATTATATCCCTAAAATCCAATTCATATATTTTAATTTCTATGGGCACATTTTTTATTTTACAAACAAAAGTATTTTGATTTTATATACTATTTAATATAAATATATTTTAAAGTTATAATTCATGACAACGTTGGTTTTTAATCATTTGGGATTAATGAAGGAAAATTCAAATAAACTATATTTATTAAGGAGAGAAAAAGAATAAATGACGTCATATAAAAACAAAACATGTATATTAATATGTAATGTTTAAAACATGTTACATTCTAATAAAAGAAACATATTACATATTTAATAATAAATTTGAACCGGAGAGCAAAAGAAATACATAATAAAGTTCTAACAAAACTAATGGTCTTTTAAGAAATATAAAAAATTAAACTGCTTTTCATTATGAATTTTTTATTTGGGTGAAAAGTTAAATGACTGTCGACTTCAACGGTTCCACATAAAACTTGCCTCCAAGGACACCAATGTAAGAAGATATTTTTGGCCTCATTAAGAGGCTGAGGCTAGCAGGCGGCTTGAGGTTGAACCTGTAACTTATCTTGTATTTAAATAACATCATCTCAGCCTTTTGTCAACTAAGTTATACGTCAAAGACAAAACCTCTAAAAGAAGAATCATCTTCTCGTAACTACTCTAGATTTTAAGGCGGAAAAAATTAAATTCCTTTAAACCACAAGCATGATATTCTATGGCCTTAGCAAACTTTGGTTTTTTTACACATCATTTTCAAAATTATAACAAATATTGATCTATGGTTTGCATTTTATTACAAATTTTATTTATTTATAGCAGAACTTAAGTTTATTATGTTAAATGGCTTCAAGTATATCACAAGTGAAGACATTTGGGTCATTTTCTATGTTCTTTATAACTTTTTGATCATGTAAATGAGTAAAATACATGAAGTATACTTTGATTAGAGTTTATAAGATATTTCAAAATAAATAAACAAATCCACCAACCTTAACACCATTGCCTTTTGTTTTTTCTCCGACACCATGGCATGACCGGTGGACAAAAGACCTAAGATTGTTTAGCGGTGATTCCAAGCGAACCCAAATTCTTATTAAGAAGGTCGAGGCATAAGTCGCTTATGTTACTCTGTGTGCACGATCTTGTTTGTTTTGTTTCTCTTTTCTGGGTGGGACTGGAGCATTGTTTTAGAGGGTTGTTTAGAGGGTTATGATAGGTGTTAAATGGGATAATCAAGAGGGTTCAACACCTTTCCTAATTCAATTAATTCAGGCGTTCGGTTTGGACTTTTTAGCCATTAGGACTTGTGGTGGTCGGGTGCGAAGCACCAAGTGAGTTCTTTTACCTTGATTTTATAAACATGTGATCGTTTGTAAATGTTTTTTTTACAGAATTGATTATGGTTTCATGCATTGATGTTTTTATGATGCAAATTGCCATTACGTACACATGATATTTATTGGATAATATGTGGCTATGTGGGAGTTTGGGTTTGCATAGTGAGAATGGTGTACCTTGAGATATTGACATCTCTTGGAGTGGTAATCCATGTGCCTTGAATTCGTTTATTGTGCACATTGGATAATCATCTACTAGGGTCTTGATTGTGAATGTCGGTGGTGTGACGGTGTGACGGTGTGACTACAAACATTATGCAAAGTTCATGTGTGGACATGTGCATATCTACTTGGTTATTGTGTTTCCATGATGAATTTTTATTTTAAATGTTATTGAAGTGAAAAATAAGGGAATTCAGTAGACCTATTGGTCTAACCTCGTTTCAAACCATTTTCAGGTGAAGTTTGTTATGAAGAGTTCTTCCAAGGAAAAGGGAAGTTGTGATGCTTCTCTTAGTATTGATTATGGTTTAGTTATAGATTTATCTTTAGTTCTGTAATAAATCCCAACCACGTATGTTATTTTCCACTGCAGATCTTTGAGATGCAATTGGGGAATCTGATTACTTGTAAACTTTTGGTGTTGGTTTGGCCATTTGTATCATCTATCGTTAATTCAAAATATGGGTATGTTGTTTCATAAATTCGCTTTCTTTCATATCGAACTACACCACATTAAACTTTAATCCAACATCTTTTATATTTAATTTGTGATCCAACCCAGCCTACTTAGATTTTTTCTTATATAAAATTATTTATTCAATATTTTATTATATACAAAAATCACCGGACTACCAAAACAGGAAAGATTCAATTTCAAAACCTTGTATGTATGTGTTTAAGATCACACCGTACAAAATGAAAACCCATTACACAAATGGTTTTCTTTTTTCATCTCAAACACCAAAATTGTTCTTTTTCTTCATGTCATCAATCGTCACATATTTCTAGTCAAGGCCATCACTTTAAACAACTTAGTCCTCACCACTGCCATGACCAGCAACTCATGGCCATCAGTAGCCACCACCAAATTTCCTCCTTCTGCTTTGATTGGACGACAACTTGTTGTGGGTTTTGATGTTTTATGTTGGATGTTGCTATTAGTTCATATAGAGGCTGCAAATAGACCGATTTTGCTATTGTTGTCTTGGTGAACGGTAATGTGGTGATGAAGTTTGGTAGGGAGGGGACGGGACGAGAGAGGGAGGGAGACAAGAGAGGAAGGGGTGGGGAGATGATGTGGATGGAGGGAAGAATTGAGATCAGATAAAAGGGAACGGTGGCTAGTACTATACATATAATTATTTTATTTGGGGGCCCCAATCCATAATTTTGATATAACCACAAGGACCAAATATGTAATTTACTCTAAAATTTATGAATTTGACCTCTTTTTAGAGGGAAAAACATAAGTTACTTAAGCTAACTTATTGATAAGTTATTTTGAGTAGTTTATGGAAAGATTTTTAACACTTCTTTTCAATTATACATTTGATTAATATTAATTATTAATTATTATTATTAACTATAAATAAATATTAACTATTAATTATAAATAAACATTAATTA